CTTGACTGTAATCACATATATCTTAATCTTCGTTTTAGCTGCTGTGTTTCTTTGATTGTTTTCGTATTACATGAGTCCTATTGTCCATCTTGTTGTTATTATTTTGGCTGCAGTACTTTGCGTATACATTTGCTCTAATTTTTGTAAATTTTTTGAATACTTTTTCAAGTAGTGCTGTTACATCTTGACATTCGGTTACATTGTTTAATAGGTATTCGCTTATAAATGATTTGAAAATAGTTTTCTTTTATATCAAGTGTCGGATATTCAATGATGTGATGTTGGAAATAAATTTCAGCTGCTTGCATGTATTGAGATAGCCATTTCAATGTTCATTATGGGCATGTTTCGTTGTGAAATCATTCTTGCAGTCACTTGCGTAAGTGTAATTTTTTTTAACAATTTGAGTTTATGTCTAGCTGAAATGCCTTAATGTGATAAATTTTTCGAATAAAATATCCTGCCATGTAATCTAAAATTTTGATTTTTTCGACTGTGAGATTGGTGGTTATTACGCTTTTAGATTTAGTATTATAGGGCTGCCATCATTATGAACCCCAAAATAAGGACAGGGAAACATAATAATAAGATAACAGTGAATGAAATGTAATAAACGGAATGTATTCGTGCAGTGGGACCCTTATATAATCATTGACTCTTGGAAAAGTTATTTATAAATTGGTTTGATTTAATTTCTCGAGCAGAGCCTTGTATTTCTGGGTTGCATTGTGAGCAGAAATTGCTGCTTTACCTATGGATTCCAGATTATTGTCACATTCACAAAAGCTGCAGTGCGCAAATCACTGGCCCGTCGTTTCGTTTGCCGCCGTTGAATTCTTTCTCATAATCATCACGGCAAATGTTTTTACGTTTACTCATTTTATCTCTTATGAAGTTCCAGATATAAACTAAATTCAAAGTTTAATTTACCAGTATATTCATTCATAAGGACAAAAACAAGGACACACGTCAAAGTAAGGATGTTTCTTAGAAATAAGAACAAAAACATTTTTTAGGACAAAGACCTTCAAAATAAGGACGTTATGGCAGCTCTGATTATAGGTCAGGTGGAGAAAAAACGTCTATGAAAGATACAATACTTGAGATGGAGTGAGACCAAAACGCTGTGCTCCTAAGCGTTTTTTTTTTAAATAAAGTGCAAAATATTTATTTTCGTCACCACTTTACCTACATCTGACTGACATTTTTTGCAATGCATCGCATTTTTGATGCCTTGCTTTCTTTCGACAAGAAAGTTGTCACTTTCCACGTCCTTCAGCAAATATTTCGATCAGTCATCAATGAACAGGCCGAGTTTGCGAGCTGGGCGTCTTCGTCGTTAAGCACCTTGTCTGAACCTAACGCCCGCCACTTGGAAGAGCAACATCGCCTTTGTTTGTTTATTATACGGCGAGCGGAGTTGGACATCTATTAGTAGTATATATGTACGATCAGAATATTGTATAGTTCCCAATTAGTGACTTTTGAACTAGCATTTACCTGCCGTGTTTCTCTGGAATAATATTATTGATTATTTGAAATTTATTGTTATTAAGGAGGTATAAAAATTGCAGTTTGTTCTAGAAAATACTATATGTGATAGAAAAACATTATATGACGTAGCCCACAAAAAAAAAATTCAATTGAAAAGGTCGTGAAACTCTGCATGTTTTTATAATCGTGTATTAAAAATAGCTTGCTAACGTAAGAAATTTACCATCACTTGTGAGTTGTACTTGTCTTTTTTACCGCTAGTCTGTGGAATGTGTTTTGAAACAACTGTTGGCCGCTATCACAGAGTTGTAGTTGGAGCCATATGCTATATGAACGACAATCCCATCACACCTCAATAGACTGGTATACAATGATGATTGAAATGATTCTAATGAAACAAGTTATATGGAGAAATTTAGCCTGTTTACTTAACAACATTCGAGGTTCAAAGGTAAGATATAACTAACACCACGGGGTGGGCGTTATAAATTATCACGAACTGCAAATATTTCACTCTCTCCAAAATATAGTAGCAAGGCTTCGTTTGGCGTGAAATGCATATAATTATGCCATATGTGAGAAAATCAGATAAGATGTGGTACATATATTTGGACAATGTTTTCCTATTTTTTCATTCCTTTATTTCATTACTTTCCAACGCCAATTATCCGCAACAGAATTTTCATTAAACCAGCTTGCAATGCAAAATTTTCTCCAAGCTATATCATCTATAGACCTTATTCATTAAAAACCCATCCTACGCGCAAAAAGAAAAGTGATGCAAAAATTTTTTTTTTTACATTAGCTATTATGGGTAATGTGATCACCAGAGCAGAAATTTGCATTTTTCGTAATTTTCTAGGTATCTTTCATTGTATACGTGAGCAGTTTTGAGGATAGAATATTTTTTACATCTTTTTTGATATTTTTTATGATAAACATGGTCAAGATTTTTAATAATCGTTCATTGAAATTTTAATGAGCGCGGTGTTTCCGATGACGTCATTCTCACTAGACCATGAGATTCTGCCAACGCGCCGTGCTCTGTGGGATATGGCTCCAACTGCTTGTGATAACAGAATACTGGAATACCGGTACCGGGACCACAACTGGCGTTCAACGAAAGACCTATTTTGGTTTTATTGGATGTTATATATTTCATGAATTCCATGTAACATGTACTTTCTGGTACACCTTTCAAAATCCAATGGCCTAACTCAGTTCATATGTTGACACCATGTACCTATCCAAAATTGGTGATGTTCAGGGCTGGATTTAGACCATGAGAGCCCCTTCATATTTTTGAGCTCAGAATTTCTCTCTAAACAACACCACATTTAATTGCTTAAAATTTAAAAATATGAAAGCATTAAACTTTTCATTCTCCCCGTGTGAATTTTTAATTAAAAGAATAAAAATTTACTTGAGGCAGTTTTGCTTTCAATTTCTTTGATCAAACAACCGCTACAGCCATACTTTAACATAGAAACTTCCAGCAGAATGCGCATAATAATAATTTCCCTTATTATGATGCAAACGACGCAATAATGGCTGTTTACAATGTGGTTGAAACCAGTTGTGTACAGAATTTTCTACTCTGAAAAGCTTGATATATATATATACTTTTGTAGGGTTTAAACTTGTCAAGTTTTCAAAAGAATTACAAACTTCGAAACCGAATTTCGAGGCTCTAGGTTTCAGCCTGCCTAGCCTATTGGTAAATCCAGCCCTGGTGATGGTCCCTACAGCAAATTTCTGGCCCTAATCACTCAGCAGATTGAAATAAATGGTTTTCAGCATTTATTAGCAAAGATAGATATTTTAATTAAACATATAGTTCAACTTAAAGCCTGTATAATGATATTATAAATATATGTCCCATTATTACTGCATTGTGAGAAGGCTTTCCACACTATCAAGTCTATAAGGTTTTAGCGTCTTCCAATGTCTCAGATGGAAACTTCAGTCTTCATTTCGCATATTCTTTTCATTAATGCCATTAGCATTTGAAGCTTGACTGATTCCAATGTACCTTTTCCATTGTTGTTTAATGTAATATCCTAAACGTGACTTCAAATTTTTTTCTCACTTCAATCATCACATGTTTGAATACCCGAGCTGACTTCTACTGATTTGTTATTAATTTACAATTTTTTTTATAAATTAACTGTCGTACTTGCTAAGTGTCCACTAAGTGAAAATCTACAAAAAAAAGCAGTGTTTAATAATGGACTACATTTTTAACCGAATCCAAAAATATTCCGTAACTTAGTCAACCCTTCCTCCAAGGAGTTTTTGTTAAATTGTTCAAACATCTTAATTAACTGTTAATCTTGATAGCAAACATGGGGGCAGGGGATGAGCTGACTGTGATGGTCGTATCGCTCCCCAGTCTATACCGAATAACTGTGTGTTTTGTATAATTTTTATTGATTTAATGCTTGTGTTCTGGTTGACAAAATAACTCTCCCTGTCGTATTCAGTCATGTTTTTAACCTAGTTACGAGACCGGTATTGTACCACTATAGGTTGGAGATATTCATCTTTTTTGTATACCGGTACCGTACAACTTATCCTGCCTATTGGCAGATGGCCAACATTTTTGTTCGTAGGCCTATTTCAGTATTTACTAAATAATTTAGTTTTCACCTCTTGCAGCCTTGGTACGGTACCGGTAGTTTAAATAACACGTCAGCATGCCTTCAGTAAATGATTGCTAGCTGTACAGGTATAAATGCGTAAAACCAGTAAACAAACGTGATAGAAATGGTAGGTTATAGATTGTCAATGTTAAACGCTTCCAGTACGGACCGACCCAAAGCGACATTATCCCACAGAGCACGGCGCGTTGGCAGAATCTCATGGTCTAGTGAGAATGACGTCATCGGAAACACCGCGCTCATTAAAATTTTAATGAACGATTATCAAAAATCTTGACCATGTTTATCATGATAAAAATATAAAAGATGTAAAAAATATTCTATCTCAAAACTGCTCACGTATACAATGAAAGATATCTAGAAAATTACAAAAAATGCAAATTTCTGCTCTGGTGATCACATTCCCCATAAGAGCTAATGTTAAAAAAAAAATTTTTACATCACTTTTCTTTTTGCGCGTAGGATGGGTTTTTAATGAACAAGGTCTTACCGGATACCGTTAAAACGATGAAATGAACTGACGCGCGACTATACTTAATCATTAACAAGTTTTGTATATTAAGAAGCTATGACTTCCGTTTAATCAATCATCAACATTTCATAACTGTTAACGCGAGGTGAAATCGCTCATTTCTTTGTAGTAGTATGGATCAGTGAAGATAGTTTCAGCGTTGAATTACTTTAACGTCGTAAATAGTGCTTTCACAATTTGGGGTCATTGTCTGCTGTCATTCGGACAGAAATGAATGAAAGAAATATGTTCAAATTGTTGGGTTGTAATAAACTAATGATATTTCCTCTTTGTGTAACACTAAAATCCCAAGTCTGTTGTAATTTGGAAAATACCTGAGTATACTGATGAAATGTATACAGTATTATTGTTGTCTCACAGGCTTGTCAGCTCAGTCTGTATTTCCCACGGGAGTAGCCATGTCATAGCAACTTGATTACGTCATAGCTAACCTTGATCTTTATGTTATTTAATCTTTTTAATGTGTTTACTCCCCAGTTTTCTTTATATACAAGGATCCATTATTTATTTTGTTTCATGTTTTAAAAAATGACGGCAACGAAATTCATAACCAATATATTATTGGAAACATTAGCATAGGTTTCCTCTGCCAAAAGCTGGTGCGAAATTGCTTTTTGCCATACTAGTTTGATCGGCAGCAGTAGTGCGCTTATTTAGTTGCGGAAACGAATGTTACCTTCCGCTTGTTAACCTCTGTGTACATCAGTTTGCGTGTCATTCAGAAATTACTCGGATTAACCAAATTATTAGATACAGTTGATGGACAGGTAATTGATAATTTGCTGAATGAGCATAGTGACCCGGAAATAGAATAAGATTGTCAAGAATGAGACTGAAGTGTCGGTACTCCAGAAGTATGTGCGCCAAGATGGCGGACACCGGAACGTAGTATGTGTATAGGTTAGGGTTAGTCTATAATTTTAGGTACAAATACTACGAGAGTCACTTGGCTAGTCCCTGAACTCGAAATAAACTAAAATAGAGAAAACTAGAATAAAATTAAGGCCCAACCCTAACCTGGTACACATACTATGTTCCGGTGTCCGCCATCTTGGTGCAACATACTTCTGGAGCGCCGAAGTGTCATAGTAAGACGATAATTTTGAATTTAAAGTTAACAACGTCAATTCATTTTGTCGTTGTGCATGTCTTTTAGTACATGTAGTCCTCTTTACTAAACCAGAATTTTATAAATTTAATATTTTTTATGATTTGTATTACAATAAAAATCCCGTGGGATGGAATGGGGCTGGCATAAATTACTATTGCATGGAAGTGGGATGGAACAGAAAATATATACCATGGACAAGCCACAGTTTTTTATATATAGGGCAGAGATGGAGTCGGGGGTCAGTGTTGCAAACTCTTAGTCCCATAATTTTATTCACTAAGAAATCCAATTTCACATGACTTCCGTCGAGTCGAGATTGCTGTTCTCCTGTACTATCAGTATTCGACAATTTTTTAATGCGCTGTTCTGATATTCACACTTTATTCAATAAAACCTCAATTTGAAAATCGAAATCACCCAAGTTACCACCACAAAATACCACGTCAATGCAATTTATCAAGTGATAATCGGTGAGTAACTTCGTTTCGTATAATTCATTTCAGCGTCACACTACTATATTCTGAAATCAAACAAATGGACCTAAATAGCAATGAAAGTATATATACCGCTGTTAAAGAAGCACATGCTCGGATTTCCAACCACATAAGGAAGACTCCATTAGAATATTCCGTACATTTGTCAAAGAAAACGGGATGCAACGTTTACCTAAAACTAGGTAGGTATTTTCATGTCTTCAACTTTTTACCTCTTAGCACTGGGATTCACAACACAGCGCACGCGTGCCTAATGTGCCACCCAATAAGGTTGAACGTGGCTCGCGAACCGTTTGGTAAAAAAATGTACTTATAATAAATCCTAATAACTCACGAATGTGTATTCAAACATTTCTATCTCGTGACTTTGTTATCTGAAAGTAGGCTGTAAGTAAGTAGCTTTGTCTGGGGTAGCGAGCGGATAGGAACATGATTTCTCTATTTAGACTTGGAGTGAAGTAGCGTAAATAAAGCGCGCTTGTTTCATAATGAATTAATTCGGCGAGTTCATTCACAAATGCTTAGCTTCCTGGTTCGATATGAAACATAAACAAACAAGTAATGTTAATGTCTGATTTGGAGACAGTTTGTAACCGCTTCGCATTCATTATTTGTTAGGAAGGTTGAATTAATAGCAAATTCATGTCCATGTATTTTTTTAGAAAACGAACAAATAACTGGGTCTAATAAAGCACGGGGAGCTTTCAATAAAGTATTATCATTACTGGAAGATCCTGGTCATCAAGGAAAGAGTATAAAATTTTTTGCTGTTTCTTCTTGTGGAAACCACGCTTTAGCAATGGTGAGTTCTGTAGATAAAGACCGAGTCCAAAAAGGAGCTAGTTTGAATCAGGAAGGACAAAAATTAGGGTTTCATATTAGCACTTATATATACACAATTCACTTATGCATATATATACATTACGCTCGTCTCCAGATGCACGCACTAAATCAAACGGGACAGATAGGTGAAGTATACGTCCCTACGTTTGTAAAGAAAAATAAATTGGATGACCTAGAAGCAAGGGGAGCAGACGTTAGAATTCGTGGTGACGACATGGACGACACTGAAATCTTTGCTAGAAAAGAAGCAGAGGTGAGTATACTTATGTACTTATGTGAATAAAAATTCTCAAGAATCCTATTAAGTGTGCCATAAATATACAAAAAACTTCCGAAAAACTTGTTATATCCCGAAGGCAGTATCCAGATTGATTAATTTAATTATTGGACACGAAATGGGCCTATGGATCGTTTTGTTATTTTGTTGTTGTCGACCATCACGTTTCTATTTTGTTTTTTCTTTTTCTACCAGACCAATTGCTTTGAAATTTTTAGAGAATGTTTTGGTAGCAGGTAATTACCTATATTTATTTCAAACATTTTTGTGGGCCTTGTTTTTTGTGTGCGATGAGGTCATCGAACATAAAAATTGCGCACCCTGTGGCGGTTCCGCGTTCGCGATAGTGGTGAGGCGAAGTCGTGAAAACTGCGGTACCGGAGTCGACTGTGACAGATTGCATACCCGTACTACTTCGTTTGGGATTTCGTGTTCATATATTTGGGCATCGTTCCCTTAATTTTTAAATGCCTATCGTTTGTGCGCTGTGACAAACGATAAGGGCGGTGGCAAGGGGTGAGGGGGGATGACCTTCACTACTTTATGAAATTAAATTTACCTCTTTGTTTTATAGACTAGGGAAGGAGTATTCGTTTCAGCTTATGGTGATCCAGAAGTACTTGCAGGACAAGGAACCGTTGGGTATGTAATTTAAACATCAGCAACAGATGGATTGTAAATATATATACAATTGAATTACTAACCTTGTGAGTCTCAGTCATTCATATAACTATTTGTGACGCAAGGTACGTACGGCTGTCGGATATATCGGCTATTTCTGCTACATATATATATTATTAGCTGATAAACCAGGCAATACTGCATACTGAAATTATATTGAGATTGAGACGCTTGTAAGTGCTTAGGAACTGGAGTCGCAACATGGCACCCATTGTGGCCTATGATTTCAGCCTTCAATTTTGTCATCACATCTATACTTACTGTATTATTACTCAGTTTGGAAATTATCTCCGAGTTGAAACACGTCGACGCCATTTTTGTGTCTGTTGGAGGTGGTGGGATAATCGGTGGAATATCATCATATGTGAAACATATTAGTCCACATACTAAGGTAAATGGAAAGATTACACAGCAGTCAACTTGGTCTAAAAAGACTTGTATTAGACATAAAACAAATGTATTAAATTTATCAGGTTATTGGATGTAGCGCAGAAGCTTCAAATTGTATGGAACAATCCATAAAACATGGAAAACCCATCAATATTGTGAGCAAATCTACTTTGGCAGATGGACTTGTCGGTAAAATCTAGTTTATTGATGCTAAATTTTACTAGAGCGTGATGCAAAATCAAATTCAAAATATAAAAATTAGGATTGCTGTCATTATAATCTTATCCTGCATTTACACTTTATATATATATGAAGATTGTCCACGACAATTAAGGACTTTTCGTTCTATAAATTTTGCTGCCAATTTAGAGAATGTCGTCGACCCGCGTTAAATGTTATTTCAAACCTTAAAACTCTATTTTAAGTAATATACTCGAGGGAGTGTTTGTGTCGTTACTTCGAGAGAACCCATGTTTGAACCAGTCAACAATTTATATTCTGACAAAATTGTCTCAGGATATTATTTTTTGTTAGACACATATTGTCACAGACATTAGCATACAAAAATATCTTCGATATTTTCTTTATTCAGGAAATATCGGACTTGATAGTATAACTTTTTCTGTCTGTCAACGCAACGTTGATAGATGGATCACTGTGACGGAAGATGAAATTTACAAAGCCATGTTCATAATGCTAAATGATCATCACAAGGTAAGGTCAACGCTCAAGAAACAAAAAGTAAATCGATATCTGGCAACCCCTTCAGAAAACGTTTTGCCTAATAATCATCACAAGGCAAGGTCAGCGCTCAAGGAACAAAATGTCAATCAATATCTGGCAACCCCTTTAGAAAACGTTTTGCTTAATAATCATCACGAGGCAAGGTCAAGGAACAAAATGACAATCAATATCTGGCAACGACTTTAGAGAACGTTTTGTTTTGTATGTGGCTTGCAATATATGCACTTGGGCTGCCCAATTGCTGTTACAAGTGAATTCAACGATTTTCCTACCAAATCAAGTGTATATTTTGTTACGCCACAGTTTTTTTCCAATTTTCTATTCGACTTAAACAATTTTTGATAATTTTAAGGTGGCAGAAGGGGCAGCTGGTGTTGCACTTGCTTCTTTCCTGAGAGTTCAAGAAGAATACAAAGGCCAAAACGTTGTTGTTCTGATTTGTGGTGGTTACGTATACGCAGACGATCTGGCTAAAGTGATTGATTACTGCAAATAGAACAAAGCTGCAATCATTGAAATGCTCTAATTATCTTGTGAACCGGAATAGATGTTTTCCTCAGCGACTTTCTTGTTTAATACCGTTTTTTTTTAAATTTAAGTGCATAATGGACAGAATGGCAACGGTGACATAACAATTCAATTTTATCACTTTTATTTTCAGGCATGGTAGTAAACATTACTTCGTTTTGAATTATGTGTGTTATCACTCCACCACTAATAGTAACAACTTGAATCACATAGGTCATAGATTAACATCATATTTTCAACGGGATTTCTGAATAAAACATACTTTCACCTTACTTACTGTTACCGATTTCCCCCCAAAATAAGACCTAGCTTTAATTTAAAAAATGATTTTAATATAAGCCCTTCCCATCAAATATGACCTAGTCGATAGCGCAAATTTTTTTTCTTAGTCGATAGCAAGAGACTAGTTATTCTCTACTTTGGAGTTTTGTTTCTGATCAATGAAAATAAAAGTTATTTTATAAGTGTTATTTTTCGAATAAAAATTGAAATGAGACACTGTCTTAATTTCGAGGTATTTCAATTAGTAATTTTCACAGTTTTCATCTAGTATTTTTACACTTTAAAAAACAACTTTTAATACACAATAACATTCATTTAATTCGTCAAGTGAATTTTTTTTATATCATATAATGTTCCTCTATCAGTCTATCACATAGTATCTTATAGCACAAACTGCAATTTTAAAACCCATTTCCAGCCCCGTTTTAATTTTCGATATATAATTATCTCGTTAAGAAAAATAAAGTACAACGAAATTTTATATCGTGTGTGTGCCTTGTTTTTATATATCATTTAATACATCGGTTCCCAAAGGGTGCGCGCGGCGCATTAGTGCGTAGTGACGAGTGGATAGGTGCGCCGCGAAAATTGACAGAATATTTAAGATAGTGTATTTATTACAAAAGTTCTTTTGTTCCTTATTTTAAATGTTGTGTATATAAATCAATAAATTGCTTTTTTATGTTGTTTACTTCCTGTTACGTAGGGTCTGCATCTAATGTTACGTAACAATAGAGGGATAAACCACTTAGTGCAATTTCGTGAACTGCAGTTCATATATCTACTGAACAGAGTTTAGCGAATATGGGTGATTTTCCCAGCCTTTCGAAAGGAAATCGAGCAGAGATGAGAAAGAAGAGTTGACCTTCCGCCATTATTCCTTATGTCTATGTGTTTTAAAACTTTATAATGCATAAAGTACACATTAGCGATAACAAAATTGACTTTTATTTGAAAAACTGAATTTTGTTCGTGTAAGTGCGCCTTGATTTTTTTTCCGTAATAATTCGGCGCCGTATGAACAAAATGTTTGGGAACCGCTGGATTAATGAATAAATTAACCATCAATTGTGGGGTGTACTTGTTGTTTTATACAGCTGTCGAATAAGTTCTGAAACAGCAGCTGACAGATTTCAATGCGCTGTTGTTAAAGCTGTATGCAGTGGTGAGATTCCAATTTATTGTCAGCCGGTTCCGTCAATCCGTAATACTAACCAGTTCGCTGATCTTATATAAATCCGTGAGACGGTTCTATAGAACGGTGCTACCCGGCTGAATCCCACCACTGGCTGTATGTTATATGAATGACAATCTCATCATATCTCAATAGAGCAGAAACTGGTATACAATGATGATTGAAATGATTCCTATGATGCAAGTTATATGGAGATATCTCGATTACTTTACACAACATTCAAGATAAAAGTTAAGATTTGACTAATACCGTGAGGTGGGCTTTATAAATTGAGTAGGCAATGCCGAACCGAAAAGATTCCAAGCCTTCCAAAATATAGTAGCTGCTTGTGCAGAACTACGTTTGGCGCGAAAGGCATAAAAATATGCCATACGTGAGAACATCAGATAGGATGTGGAACAATTATTTGGACAATTTTTTTTAACCCCCGCTTTCACTTCTGGTACGACATATGATAAATGCACATGCAAAATCTGGAGCAGATTCAATCTCGCTTTCATGAGATATCGCGTGCATCTAACAGACAGATACCTATCAACATTGTTTCGCGTGACTTAAATTGTTTCTAGGAAATCATAATTATAAATTTGGAAAAATCAACTTTGTTTTCGTAATTTAAACTGAAATGGGGGTAGATCCCAGACGTGTACAGTCGTGGTGAATTTCTTCACATCCGTATCGCAACTGACTACCATAAGGTCCACTTACCGATCAATATTCTATGGTCACTGCCACTGCAGCCAGGCATATTTTTTCTCTGGTAGTACAAACAAGGCCTAATATTTGAACTTACAATAATGATTTTTGATAATCATAAAATGAAAGTGGAAACCTCATTAATTGAGATTAGGATTTATACTTTAAATTTCGCCAAAATACTCCTAAGGACTAACCAAGGGACACGATTGGCATTGCTTACTCAACCAGAGTGAGAAAGAGGGCATGGAATTTGAAGCCTAGATTTTCAAACTGCAATGCCAACAGTCAAATCTCTATCATTATGCCATGGCATGGTATTCAGTAACCCACCAAAAATACTTCCAGAGCGCATAAGTATGTTTAAAAACCAAAACTAATTCATGCCCAGTACAAAAAGCTTCTTTCTGTTTCAGCTGCAAAGGTGATTTATTCTGTCGCTGACACTGCATACAGCTGCAATCCATAAGATAATATTACTATATTTAGAAGAGTAAGGTCTAGCTTTTGTAATATAGATCAACCAAAACATGAACTTCAAAATCAAATGTAATCAAAACCATTCTCATTAAACTTTATATCCAATTAAACTTCTTCTTCCGATTATTTCTCCAACAAAGAACCACATCAAAATCTCTGTGGCAACAAGAGTGTTTTGCCATCCTTGCTAAAAATAGAACAAAAGTTTCACGTCAATAGGAATTCAAAAATACCTGGTAAAAAAAAGGGTATCAATCGGATCTGGCATGTATTTATTATCATAGGAATGGCCAAAACCGAATATTCCACTATTTCGAATATATTCTGAAAAAATATTTTCGAATATGAAAATAGATATTTTAAATATGGGGCGAGTGCATGTGGAAAATTACATAAATCTCTATATCTTTATGTTGATTACATCTAAAACAACATATATATAATGGGGGAACTTGGATATTGTGTAGTGAACTGCAGGTCCTTTCTTCTTGATTACTTTCTACTTCGGATCCGTATGTGGCACTCACCACAAGGATGCTTGAACGAGATAATATTCATATAAAAATAACATGATCTCTTTCAACGAAATAGTAAGTATATTTGTGAGCTTTCGTTAAATCATGGTCTAACTTCTTCAAACAATACAAGATATAACTTAATCAAAACAGCAATAAATATAATGCAATGCAATATATATAATGGTCATTGTTTTCACTATGTTTGTTATTACTAAGGATATCATACATTTCTGTTTATTGCTCCAAAAAATAAAAAGCTCATATTAATTCGATCTTTTGTTATGTGCACGTGTAAATGTAGGCCGGGGAAAATTTATAAAATTGACTCGGGGTCTCATCTCTATTGATTTATTGAGGTATTAAACACAGGCTTGGATAATTCACAAGAATCATCATGACTACATTTTCGCAACATTAAAATAGTAACAAAAAATAATAACATTAGAATGTTTATTAAATTGGAATACCCATTTTCATATCTAGCGACTAGCATAAACTTGTTCGAATACACAAACAACCTATAACGTTGGATGATATCTAACGTTTGTTAGCTAACAAAAAGACTTAGCCCAAACAGTTGGTATAATTCTACCATAGGACAATGTTCTGGACAAGACTTCATTTGACTATCATTCTAAGATAAGGCCCTAGGGCTTTTCAAGGGATGCCTCACATAAAATGTCTGACAAAAAACAAAATTTACTAATTTAGATGATTTTTTTCACTCATCTTTTCTCATATAAAAATCTAGAGAAAATATATTTTTCATCCAATGTGGCAAAGTCAAAATAATTTCCGAAAAATCAAGAATCACCTAATTGTCACTACTTAGGTTTACACGTTTTGATGCTACTTGAATGTAACCATAACTTTTGTTTCATAATTTCCAACTATCAGCGTGGGCAGGAGACGCCCTGTGATAAAAAAGTCATGAAAATTTATGCGGGCTCTTATTTTCATCTTAGTAAGTATATCCTAATTATTATATCATCTGGAATTTACGAAGTTGTGAAAGCTGTGCTGAAACAATTGTACAAAACCTTTCTGGTATTGATTTTTGAATAGCAATTATTGTTATACTGACCTTGACAGACAATTCCATAAATTTTCCAGATATTAAACTTTTTATTCCTTTCTGTGCATCTCCAACTGCTTGACTCATTTCACCAGGGGTTGGAGGACGAAGTTCTACTTTGGCATATTTATAAAAGGTTTGCAATTTGGGTCTTGAAAAGCTAACAACCGCTGAAAAAAAAAACAATTAATTTAAATTTATCCAACTAACAGAGCCACTGTGGTGACCATTATCTTGTTATCATAAGTTTCCCCATTTTTAAATAGCCTATAAAGTTTAGGATGGGATTTACATATTTATCCCTAAGAAAAAAAGGCAATAAGACAACTTAGTCATATGGCGAACAACGGCCTCTTGTTTGGCAAGTCTGTTTAGTGGTTACCAGTCCATGTCGGGTATGGGATTACGTGGCCAGTAGTTTGTTTTTCATATGCAGGGTAGGCTACTACAGTACCAATCATAGGTACTGTGGCAGAGCTTCTCATGCTTGGCAGTGAATACACACAATTTGAGTGTTTAATTTGGAATTATACCCAATTTGAAATAAATGTAGAACTAGGAGTAGGCTACTTGTCGTACTAAACTATACTAGACCCAAAACATTGTCTCAATATTGCAATATATTTATATTAACATATTTGTCATCACTCTTATTCCTACGGGCCCTTTGCCAAATCACTATTAGAACACAACACATACTTACCTTTGCTCCAAACGGGAATCTTTGCTGCCAGACCAGCCATCTTTTAATTTGAATAAAACGCAGAACAAAACTCCACAACCAAAACTGAACGGACGTCAAGAACACTGGCAAGGAGAAAAATCAGAGTTTGTAGAGGTTATCGATGCGTGTCGGTGACATAAGGTCACAATTCGCCGCATGGTGTTCAAAGAGCATTTATCTGCCATAACGACGTTTTCGTGGCTTTGATGCCTTTAAAACTATTAATTGGATCAATTATCATTTTATCTCACAAAGAGTTCTATTACAGTTATCAAGAATTAGTCTTAGAAAAGCTTTGATAGAAAAATATGTTACGTTCAAAATCACATACTACAGGAATACACATACACAGGAGTACCATACACATTATATGCCACATAGTTTTTAGCACTTCAACTTACGTCGTGTATTTTGTTGTGAAGTTGTCTCGGAATGCAGGAAACATATTGATATATAATTTTGTGGAGTACTCATTTTGACAAATATTTATCTTTTTTCTGTGCCCATATTTGCAGCGGCCTCATTTGAATTAGTCACTTATTTGAATATCAATAAAGCGTGGTCACATGAAATTGCTAAATACTAATGAGAGTAATAAATAAGTGAAAAAAATGAACTACTATTTGTAAATAGGGTTTTCCCCGTCAACCCATGAGCCTCGATATGTATTTTGAAATACTGAGTTTATATTTGCTCCGGTTGTTGTGACTTCCGCTTCGATAATAGCAGCATTAGCTCCCCCATTATTTTGTGCTTTATCGGTAGTTACCGACGACACACTGCAATGTTTTCAATATAATACTACCATCGATTATTGGACACGTTTAGTGGACATAACGATCGTTTTGTTGTTATGTTGTTCTTGTTGTTCTTTCACACTTTTGGACACCTAGTTTAGTGGAAATAATAAAAATCCGCTTTTCTTTTTGATCACTGGACGAATTGCTTTGAAATTTTTAGTGGTTAAAGATGAAATTTTTCTCCTGAAGGGTATTACTTTTATTTATTTCAAATATTTCTGTTAGCTCTGTGAGATTTGCTTTTGTTTGCTATAACGTCACTGAACGTTCTGCGGACGCATATGCAGGCACTCCTCTTTTTGATCACGTGCCATCGAACGTTGGCGTGACGGCGGATTCTGAAAGTCGTTGCAAATCGCAAGGTTTTCGAGGTTACCGGTGAATGGCGGTGATGCTAAAGGTACGGTAGACCGTAGTGTACTGCTTCGCTTGGTGTGAATATATTTGTAGACTGTGGTCTAGAGCAGGGCTTCCCAAACATTTGAGCTCGCGGCCCCTTTTAATATTTTTCGCGGCCCTTGTTCACGTTAATAATGCTAAACAGTACTGTAATAACATTTTTAATATTTTATTGACACAGCTAATTCTCAACTTTTAGTAGGCCTACTCAATAACAAAAACAAGCACATATTTACTCAATTGTTCAGTGTAATGGGTGCGAATGCATTTTGCTGCATAGCAAGTCCAGCCGCGGCTCAATGTTTGTTTATGCAGACCTAAATGATGAATTACGATGTCTGGCCACAGGCCACCGACGACATGGTTCGTATCCGGAATTGTTACGCACTCTTATTGATCAAATTTAGCATAAGGCAACGGTTTGTGCGACGCCAAATTATCAGGGACAAAATTCGCGGCGCACCTACACGAAAAATACGCTGCCTCGAAATAAAACACAATTTTGTCATCGTTAATGTGTACTTTATGCCTTTTGAGGTTTATAAACATGTAGGCCTAATGAATGAGGCAAAAGGTTAACTTTTGTTTCTTATCTTCGCCTGGTTTTCTTTAAAATGCTAAAAAATCACTCATGTTCGATAATCTCGGTTCAGCAAATGAATAAACTGCAGCCTACGAAATTGCAGCTCTTCTGTTACGCAGCAATATACCGTACGTAACAGAAAGTGAACAACATAGAATGGTAAAATGAATTTGAATCATAAACACATCATTTGCAATGATGAGAAAAAATAATACATTCAGAATAAATAAAATGTGTGAAATATGCAATCTTATATTAGTTAGTATTTAACACAAATATCCTAATTTTCGAGGCGCACTTAGCAAATCTTACGAATGAGATATTCATTGTTATGCAAGCGCGATGATTCAACCGCGTTTCTAAAAAACCGCATTCTAAAAAAAAGGCTTAAAAAAAGACTTAGGCGATAGCGCAATTTTTTTTGGCCTAGTCCAGTGGTTCACATAGCGCGTCGTTTCAATTTCGATAGAGCGTCGCAAAATTTTGTGATTCGTGAACCTTTCAAACAACCCATATCTTCTACTTTTACTGAAAAAAGTAAGATTAAATAATAAGGTTTAAAGTTAATAAAGTTTTGATAAAGATTATGAAGCTTAATTCTGAAAATTCGGGTTTCTGTAGATAAAGATTATTTTTCCTTGGTTCAAAAATCGTTGCGCACTCCCATCCCCTTCGCGATTTCGTATTTATATAAAGCAGGCTTTTCTACCAGGGCCCATCAAATGTGATTTCACTGACTGTCGGTGAGTTTTGTTTAATCGTTTATAATAAACTCATTGCAAAAAAGGTCTTTTATTGAACGGTATAAATACGTATTTTCACGGGGAGCCGCAACTTGAACATATTTTTGGGGGCGTCAAACTGCAATGAAGTTAGAGAAACACCGAGTCTTATTTAATAGCAATAAATCTTTGCTACTTTTTACATGGTTAATAATCTTTATGTAGCAGTTTTTTTATTGAAAACGTGCTATTTATAAGTAAATAGAAATCGGTATTCATATTTGGCATAAAAAATCTCGTTATTCTCAAAATCACCCACAAATAAGCCCTAGTGTTATTTTTGAAAGAAAATCGAAGAAACCATCTTATTTTCGGGGAAACACGGTATGATGATGTATGTATTCGCTCGTAATCGTAAAATTTTTGTTTTACACTATTTTTAATGATTGTATTTCAAATCAAGAGTGTGAATTGTGTAAATTTGGAGTAATTCGAAGGCCGCGGCCCCTAGTTTGGGAAGCCCTGGTCTAGAGGTACGGTAAAACGTACTTCACTGCTTCGCTTGGTGTGAATATATTTGTAGACTGTAGTCTAAAGGTACGGTAAACCGTACCGGGACCGGTACTGTACTGCTTCGCTTGAAGTGAATATATTTGTAGGCTGTTGTCGAAATTCTTCGCTTGGTGTGAATATATTTGTAGACTGTGGTATCTGCTGTTATAATTCCGTGATAAATCGAATGAGTTAGTTTTGCAAAGAAGAAGCGTCTGGCATTACAGGTAGAAGGGGGAATAGGGGGGTGCGCATTTGCAATACGTCGATAATATGTTTGTCAACCAATTTGCGACCACCGTGGTTTGTCTGTTTGATTGCTGTGATGTGGTGCTTTGTTTATAATTTGACGAGTTTTGTTCGAAATAACCGTGTTCTTAAAATATATGACGGTCAGAAATGCAATTAGAAGCCCAGGTAGAGAAGTTCTGATACCGTAACACAGCGCGGTGACACTGAACTAACTCGTAGCTGTCAAAAGCTTGAAAATCCAAACAAATATAAGAGATAAAAAGATGAAACTTGGCAGGTGGGTAGAGTTGTTTTTAACCATCTCTGAAGGTTTTGCGTTTTTACATTTAAACGAGGGGGAATAGCGGGGTGCGCATTTCTAATACGTCGGTAATGTCTTTGTCAACCAATTTGCGACCACCGTGATTTTGTCTGTTTGATTGCTGTGATGTGGTGCTTTGTTTATACAGGTACTGGTAAGTCACCGCATATGAATTTTGGGGAATTGTTCTGCGTGTCCATATATTTGAGCATTGCTCTCTTGTTTTATGGTGCGAACGTTTTGAAGAATTATAGTGTCACCAAACAAGTTTCTGCGTCAGAGCGGCACACCTCCTCAATCTCACTCTGGACCTCCTGAAGTATGCGCACCAAGATGGCGCACAACCTGAACTCAGGTTGTGTACCAGGTTAGGATTCAGGTGCGCATACTTCAGGAGTACCCTCACTCTTCTTTTATGATTTTTATGCGTATAATGTTTCATTGAACATACGATTTATTGTCATTCATTTTATCATCAACAATAGCTATATATGTAAATATATATATATAAAGTGATGACAAACTATGCAATGATTACACAATTTTATACGTTGTACTTTGTTAATATTTGGCACAATTTATTGCAAATTTTCGGAAAATTTGTGAACATGATTAGCAGTTTGTTAATAGGAAATATTTTGTGAAATATTATATATATTTTAAGACATATTTGTCTTAAGTTTGATTTGCATAAGTAGTCCAATAATCAATTTCTTTAACAGCAAGATCGCTTCCAATATTCGGAGCATGATCCAGAATCAGATATTTTCCTTTCTTCGAATATTTAGGCCACTCTATTCCCGTACCGGTGGTTTTATTATTCGGATTTCTGCAAATTTAAACGTTTATTTCATTTCAACTATCAAGGTGTGTGATATAAATGGTGACCGTACATTTGAACCCACGTACATTTGAACCCATGCGTATATCCGCGGGTTTAATCTATATGCGGGTGCTAAAACCCATGGGTTAGGGTGAGTATGGGTTCAAATATCCGTAAAACAAAAAAAATTCCATAGATGCAATAGTATGCAGGTGCAATTGTCATGGGTTCAAATGTACGTGGGTTCAAAGGTAATGAAACCGATATAAATATATTTCATTGTTACATTTGAATAATTAGTCTGCAAAGTGTTTTGAGTGTAACGCCTTTCGGTTAAAATTAGAATTCTTTTCTTTCGTCAATTAGAAAGAGTAGTGAAAATGGGGCACAATTAAACGTCGATTTCAGTCATTAATTAATAATACATACCCATATCTTGCAAAATTGGTTATAAATTTCATACACTTCTGGCTCAATTCTTCCTCTTCCTTGGAAAATACTGCCATGTTGCGGAGGTTTCCGGGAGTAAAAGGCATACCAAGCATCATATAAACGTCATCGCCATGATCACAAAAACACCAAGATGGTTTTCTTGCTTCTTTTGGACCGAAATCGTCGTCATGGTGAAAACGGAGTTGAAAAGAACCATAGTAAAAATACACATCGTTGTTCTCTATAAAAAGAATCGTATTTTTCAGAAAATACCGAAATTATTTGCCCTATGGCCTATATCATTAAAATAATCTTTCATATTTGTAAAAGTGGCAAACAATATGCCCTTTTCACGATACAATAAATATAGTTAATTTCAAAATATTCACCTGCATAAAATGAAGCGGTAGTGACCGC